CATACAAGGGGCTGACATATAAGGGGCTGACATATAAGGGGCTAACAAATAGGTGGCTGACATATAGGGGGCTAACAAATAGGTGGCTGACATATAGGGGGCTGACATACAAGGGGCTGACATATAAGGGGCTGACATATAAGGGGCTGACAAATAGGTGGCTGACATATAGGGGGCTAACAAATAGGTGGCTGACATATAGGGGGCTAACAAATAGGTGGCTGACATATAGGGGGCTAACAAATAGGTGGCTGACATATAGGGGGCTGACATACAAGGGGCTGACATATAAGGGGCTGACATATAAGGGGCTGACAAATAGGTGGCTGACATATAGGGGGCTGACATATAAGGGGCTGACATATAAGGGGCTAACAAATAGGTGGCTGACATATAAGGGGCTGAAATATAGGGGGCTGACATGTAGGGGGCTGACATATAAGGGGCTGATATATAGGGGGCTGACATATAGGGGGCTGACATATTGGGCGCTGACATATATGGGGCTGACATATAGGAGGCTGACATATAGGGGGCTAACAAATAGGGGACTGACATATAGGGGCTGACATATAGGGGACTGACGTATAGTGGGTTGACATATAGGGGGCTGACATATATGGGGCTGAAGTATAGGGGGCTGACACATAGGGGGCTGATATATAGGGCGCTGACATATAGGGGGCTAACATATAGGGCGCAGACATGTAGGGGGCTGACATATTTTGTAAAAAATGAACACAAAAGGCTTTCTTGGCACTAGAAAATGTATATGGGTATCAACAGAAATTAAAACATAATAATGCACAACATAAAAAAATGTCACCTCAATACCATATCCATTGGGGAAAAAAAAGGAAACGCCCTTTTTCCACGCCTATAGGCGTATAGGGCATATAAGGCTAGAACTATTTTTTATAGACCAATCGGCACAAGATGGGTGATGTGGTCAGCATCACGCCAGCCGCCTTTACTTCCCAGGACTGCACCCAGTACCCACTCAAGGCTGGGTCGACCTGGAAAAGGTTCGAGAGAACGACTCAAACAATTAGTAATAAACAACAGTTATTAACTTCTGTCTGCAACGAATGGATTGGGGGGGGGGGGGGGATGCACCAGAATAATTAACGGGTGGCTTTAGGAGACTTCGTATTCACCGGCTGTAAACTTTGGCAGAAAGTCTTTGTTGTTCGTCTACTTGTGAACTTTGGTCTTGTTCCAGTGTGTGAGTTGTTCGTCTACTTGTGAACTTTGGTCTTGTTCCAGTGTGTGAGTTTGTTCGTCTACTTTTGAACTTTCGTCTTGTTCCAGTTGTGTGAGTTGTTCGTCAATACTTTGAACTTCGTCTGTTCCAGTGTGTGAGTTGTTCGTCTACTTTTGAACTTTGGTCTTGTTCCAGTGTGTGAGTTGTTCGTCTACTTTTGAACTTTCGTCTTGTTCCAGTGTGTGAGTTGTTCGTCTACTTGTGAACTTTGGTCTTGTTCCAGTGTGTGAGTTGTTCGTCTACTTTTGAACTTTCGTCTTGTTCCAGTGTGTGAGTTGTTCGTCTACTTTTGGACTTTCGTCCTTTTTCAGTGTGTGAGTTTTTCGTGCACATGCACTTTATAGGTCTAACTTATTTATATGCAGACTATTGGTTCCTCGCCTCACAGACCGACTCAGTCCGACTTCAGAGGAAACATGTTTACTATCTCCCTCGGCCAGGCCGTGGGTTTTGAACCTGTTTCTTGAATAATGTGGGAAGGTGTTATAGTCCTTGTCCTAATGTACCAGTACGTTGAATGCTGAATGCTGAATGTTCAATTAAGAATCGACATAAAAAACACTCGGGACACTCCTATAAGCGCTCCGTCCCCATCTTCAGCAGCAAGCCAAGAGTTAAAATGCCGATGGTACCAGTAACAGTCTGATTGTATATCCGTCTCGCCCCTTCCCCGAGTGTCGAGCGTCGGCCAGATCCCCTTGTAACTCCTCGCAGTGCCATTCTCCTCAGATCGTAATGATCTATCTGTTCCTCGGCACTGTTCAGTCGCTCCCAAAGGGCCCTCGCAACATCCAGCTTGTCATACATCAGTTCACCACCACGTGGTGCAGAAACCGGCCAGTCTATCTGCCTGCTCATTTCCTAACACATCGGCGTGACCATAGAGAAAATATCCAAAGGATGCTAACTACCCGGGACCTCTGAAGTGATGCTTGCCACTCTGTACGAAGCATGACTGTCTTCACCTTTCTCAACATGCTCTGTGAGTCAGTTACAATGACGACATGTGTGTACAGCTGATTCTCAAGCCAATACGTGTAGTTTATCATCTCTGCATCCTCCACTGAATCAAAGAGATGACGAAAAGACACTGGTACTTGATATGACACTGAGGAAATATGATGGCACTATCAGGTGTTCTTAACAGCATTATGGTACCCTGGGCAAACCACTGTGTTGGGGACCCTGTGACAACTACTTACAGGAATCAAATGTAGTTTGTCGATAATATTAAACACGTATATTTATTGAATTTGCACATCAACAAAACTAGTTGGGTTGCAAAAGGGGGGGGGGGGTATATTTTCGTTTTTATATTATATCAAATTTAGTTCAATGTGAAATATATTTTAATTTATGGCAGTTCATTTGACATACACAGATTAGCATGAGAACCCAGTGCTCGTAGGGCCTCCCGGCAAGTGCCTAGCGGGACTATGCATTAAGATGGCCCTGAGCATAACTAAATCTGGTAAAGTAAGTGTGAGGACAACAACAAGAGATGGACCAACAGCAGCCTGAGAGGGTCAACAACAGCAGCCTGATAGGGTCAACAACAGCAGCCTGATAGGGTCAACAACAGCAGCCTGATAGGGTCAACAACAGCAGCCTGATAGGGTCAATAACAGCAACCTGAGAGGGTCAACAACAGCAACCTGAGAGGGTTAACAACAGCAGCCTGAGAGGGTCAACAACGGCAGCCTGATAGGGTCAACAACAGCAGCCTGAGAGGGTCAACAACAGCAGCCTGATAGGATCAACAACAGCAGCCTGATAGGGTCAACAACAGCAGCCTGAGAGGGTCAACAACAGCAACCTGAGAGGGTCAACAACAGCAGCCTGAGAGGGTTAACAACAGCAGCCTGAGGGGGTCAACAACAAAGATGAGAGACAAGGAGGTTTGGGGATTTATTGAAGCCAACCATCTTTGTACAGATAGAGTTGACTGACAACTAGGAAGTTCTTTCACTGGATCCACTGAAGGGCTTTAAAATATATGTCTTTAGAGGCTGACATAAGTATTTGAGATTTATTTCCGCTGGACCCATAACAAAAACTAGCAAGACATACCCACTGACACTTTTGTACTTATTTTGTACTTTTTTTTTAAAACCCTTGTCGAGCAAAAATGTACTTTTGGTAACCCAGTCAGTATTTGGTACATTTTATAAATTGTGCAGCAATAGTTTAAAATCTAGTATTGCATTGAATCTTTCACTGAACCACTGTTAGTAAAGAACATTTTCAACAAATAAATGAAGAATGTGTGGAACTAGATAGATAGATAGATAGATAGATCAATCACCAATGCTGAAAAAAAAAAAACATAATTTGTGTTTTTCTGGCGGCGGTTCTTCTAAACCGGCTAAAATCATCTGTCGAAGACATATTGTGAGATTACAAAGCGGGTTTCTGACTGACTGACTGACTTTCTACCCCACCAGGACATCACACAAGCGATAAACACCCGATGACACAAAGTGCCACCATGCGAATGAGGATCGCCGTGGAGAGGTCCCAGAAACCGCGTTCAGACATTTGGCCATATTTATGGCCTGCCTATATTGCGGCCCCTGGCAAAAGCCAGAGTAGGGCTTCAAAAGACAAAAAATATCGTCCTGAAAAGGACGAAACTGGATTAAAATAAGTTTCTGACAGAAAAGATCAACAATAGATCAGATATTTATTTTACGCCAAATAGCAGAGCAAAATTGGGAATATAGAAAAGATGTACATAATGTTTTTTGTGAATTTTAAAAGAGGCGTATGATAGTGTACATAAAAGCAGTTCAAAGAATGCTCTATTTCAAGGCACTAAAGCAGAGCCATAATTAAAGCCTGGATTGTGGGAAAACAGTCAGGTAAATCTTGATACACATTATGACGTGTTAATAAATTGGCTTTCATTTCGTTATCTGTTAATTACTCTTAAGGTGTCTTAAAGGTAAACACATAGAACCACACCCCTTTCTACCAAGCATTTAACTGCAATGAATACACAAATGACAACACATTCTGCAAGTTTATTTCCACAGGTAAGTGGCGATCACACATTGGACCAGTTTTCAAGATTAAATTAAAAGGGCAGTAACCTATGTTAAATCAATATGAGATGTTAGGGTAGACATTTGTGTCCCCTGAAACAACGATCCGAATCTGCAGTGTTTGAGTGAGACTGCAGTTGCACATTATGAGCAACTATAAGTTCAGAGCTTAATTGTAAGGAAACGAAAATTCTGGTCTTCTCAATGAAATAAAGACCACAGTATAATATCCAGATGTCTAGAAATAATGTTAAACAGGTGAATCTGTACAATTTAACGGTGCTTATCTAGCCACTTTGGGATTGAGGTTACTTCCAACAACGGAGGCCCTAATATAACCTAACGGTTGAACGGGTTTCTGGGGGATTCTCATTGACACATAGCACTTTACATCACAGGATGATGGTCTCAGTATGTGGTCCTAGTGGTGTTCAGTTTCACTCACTGTACAGCTCCACTCTGGACTTTAGATTACTTAATAACTGTTTATGATACCCCAATATAATAAATGTGCTATTTGGCTTTACAGTTGACCGGGCTTTCGAGGATTTGTACATGTCAGATTCTCACTGTCACTAGACATACTAACTGCTGTTAGTCTCACAGACTATGCATACAATGGTAAAGACAGAAAGTACTAGAGATCCACTGCTCTAACCTTCATAGTGGAGAGGGCACCTGACTGGTTGAACTTAGTACAGGAACACCCAAAACACCGTCGTCAATAGAAGAACAGAACTGCCCAAAGAGAACAGACAGCACTGGAGTGTACTGGCGCCACCTGGTGTGGCTACTGTCGCGACTGTAGATGTAGAATCACAGCCCGTGGTAAGGTACAGTTCAATAGATATATAACTGTCACAGTCCACGCTGAAATTGACGGTTTCATTTGACAGTTTCATCCAGTCTACTAGTTCTTGCGGTGGTGGGCATGGACACGGTATTCGGTCATAGATTATCATATACAGGTCGATATCTCTGGGCAGTGTTGCCATGAAAAGAGGAATCTCCGTGAGAGGTATATCCCCAAGGCCAAGATTCTTCAGGGACACAAGATCTAAGAATGCTGAGGGATCTATTGTTGATATCGGATTGGAAGACAACTGTAAATATGATAAGTTGGTCATGTTGACGAAAGATGTATTGGTAATCACTTTGATTTTGTTGTATGTCAAGTCTAACCTGGTCAGACTGGGTGGGAGAGAGTCTGGCTCAATGCTTGTGATCTGATTATGGGATAAATATAACGAAGCCAGGTGAGGTAGGTCAGCAACAGATGTGGGCACTGAGGAAAGGTGGTTATTTGCAAGGAAAAGATCACTCAAAGAGAAAGGAAAAGAACCAGAGGTAGCGTCAGATATGCTGTTGTTGTTCAACATAACTGCAGTGAGATTTGTAAAAGATGAAAAGTTCAGAATCGTCTTTAGTTGACTTGATTCTAAGTTTAAGAACATCAGGTGGTCTCCAAATGGCATAGATGCCAGTTTTTCAACATCATGGGCATTATTTAGTGCAAGACCACCGAGGTCAAGTGTGGTTAAATTTTGCAGGCTAGACAAGGCTATCGGGATTTGGGTCAGAGCTGTATGCCCTAAGTCAAGTTCTTTAAGAGTATAAGCAAACGAGAGGAAAGCTTGTTGTGGAATCGTTTTCAGAGGATTATCGCTTAAGTCTAGGTTAACTAGTGTGTGACAAGATGAGATGGAGGCAGGCCATTTGTTTAAACCAACGTTCTTCAATATAAGATGTGTAACATTGGCTATGATATGTTGTAGAATGGAGTCATCCCAGTCCTGTTTGGGTGTTTGTTGGATCTGCAAGCTGGTCAAGTTGGTCAACACCAGCAAGGCTTTGGGTAACTGACGGAACCTGGCACCAATGATGGTCAGGGAGTTTAAGGTTTGCGCCGAACTATAGAAGGCATCATCTGAGATGTTGGTCATGGGATGGTCGTAAAAGTAAATGCTGTTTAGTCCAGGGGGTAGGCTGTTCCTTGATATACTGGTGATGTTTCCGTTCTAGACAGGGGGAAAAAATGAGATAAGCAATTCGAATATTCTTTTAGTTGTTGTCTACTGTTACATTATACAAATAGTTATGTGTTCCATAGTAGTGTGACAGCCACTGTGGTGTAGCGGCTAGACGCTCGCCTACGGATTAGAAGGTCTTGGGTTCGGTTCCTGACGGAGCCGGACTTTTAAAAAAAATGACTTTGTCTCCCAGGTCGACCCAATATTAAACGGATACCAGGTAAGGTCTTAGGAAGTAAAGGCCGCCAGCGTAATATTGACCCTACCACCCGCAGTGTGCGGTTATATAAAATGCGTCTAGCCGTATATTTTTAATACACCCGAGGTCATGTAAAATAGTCCTTCCATAGAAGTATAGCTGTGATAGGGCGTCAACATCCAGCATGACCATCTAGGAGAACTGGCTTGTAAATAGCATCCTCTCCCGAAAGCTGAGGTATTTTGGACATGTCAAGTACCATGCTGGTTTGGTAACTACATGTACGCCCTGTCTCTCTAAGCGCGCAAACAAACGTATCTGCTGTCTTTGTATGTAATTTAGTATTGGTTCTTTTCCGATTTTTTTCCCCCCAATTATAACTTCATTTCTGATTATATCTCTTTTGGCAAAAATATCTCATTTTTTTTTCTGCTATGTTTTATTGTTGATTTTTGTTAGTGACCATGTCTGGCACTGGTAGTATATGTTGGGAATGGGTTGAGTTGAGTTTTCAGAACCGAAATCATAGCACTCAGGACATTTTCATAAGCACTCCATTCCCATCTTCAGCAGCTGCGAAGAGTTCCAACTCCGATGGTACCAATAACAGGCTGAATGTAAGTGTGTCTTCTTTCCTTTAGTGTGGAGTGTAGAAGGTGCAAGTTAATATATTCTGTTTACAATCTTTCTTTGGGCTGATATGAATTTCTCAAAGCTGTAAGAGGGAAGTTAGCTGTCACTTTAATTGCTTTGCTTTGAATCAAATACTGTTTTGTTCATCTACTGTGCTTAATTAGCTTATTTTTAAAAAAAAGTTGAAAAAAATTATTATAGAACATGCAGACAAACAAATAGTATTCTTCTTTTCCTTATTTTTCGTGTTCACCAGCTGTAAACTCTGGCGGAAAGTTCTGGTTTTTCATCCACTTTTGAACTGCAGTCCTGTTCCAAAATCTGAGTGTTGCGTGTGCATTCGTTTTACAGATCTAGCTCATTTGTATGCAGACTCTTGGTTCCTTGCCTCTTAAGCTGATGCACTTCGACTTCGAAGGAAGCTCCCAGTTAGTCGTTTCTTGTTTTCCCTATAATAGGGCTCCCGAACCCACACGGGCAAATAGTATTCGAAAATAAATGATTGGGGAAAAGAAGGAGTAGAGCTAGATATAATTTTGTAAAATATGTACATATATTTTCCACTGCCGACACCAATATCATGCCAGGTGTAGTAACCATGTAATGATGTGTGTGTGTGTGTGTGTGTGTTTTGCGCGCGTACAACTTTCTTCAAGTTATATCACTCTTATTTCTTTCTCTGCTTAACGCTGTTAGGCATCGCAGGCACAGCTAATGATAGGTTTCCTGAATAGTGAGCGCTCGTTAGTTTGCAGCATGGTGATATTGTTGAGAATCAGCAAGTTGTTAACTTTATCCATGTTCGTCTTTGTCCTCGTCTGCCTCCTGGTATTTCCATTCTCATGTTGTATGCTCTTGCAGCCGGTGACGCTGGATTCATTCTGAACAGTCTTCGTTTTTTCTGTAAATCTAAGTAGAGACGAAGCTGTACCCACCATTCCAATGATAACTTCGTTTCTCTTATGGTCTCTTCTTGTTATGTTGACTGCTTTTCTCAAACATCTCATCTCCCACGTTGTCAGTTTCCGCTCTTGTTCTTTCGTTAGTGCCCAGGTTTGGCATTGGTAACAGACAATATTGGTGAAAAGAATACGTTTATGATTGGTCTTTTAGTTTCCTTGGGTATTGTTGCGTGTTTCAGTATTGGGTAAAGTTGATAGGTAACACTTTTTTTGCTACCTGCATTCTGGACTCGATCTGTACATCCAGTCTGCCGTCTGCTGTGAAGATGCATCCAAGATATTGGAGTTCGCTCACCGACCCAATTTATATGATAAGCACTAATATTATTTGCAAAGAAATTTAAAAAAAAATAATAATAAAGATAAGGAACGACAGTTAAACTTACTTGTTAGCAGAAATCACGGGATGTCGATAAACCTTACATTTTATGAATTCAACATTTAAAAAACATAGATGAAACAATCAGAGAAATATCTGGACACCACTGGTAAGAACAATTATAAAACCAAGAACATATTGGGCACACCCCGAGTAGAATAGGACAGAAAATCACAGAACAGACATCATCAGCCATAACCCCACCCCTCTCCCCTTCCTCCCCTCCCGCACCCACACACATACACATTAATTCCACAGATATGCAACATCATAAGTCTTAGGGTTCAGAGATGGTTTGGCCGCTAAACTCATAACTGCTAAATACTGAGTTACAGTAAATCTAATCCAATGTACACCTACCCATAAATTGAAACTGGTGATATTAAGGGCGTCAGCTCCAGTGTACAGTGGGGCAAGATTATCTAAACTTGAGCAGGTGAGGGTGTCGTACACACACTTGCATGTCTGGGAAGAATGCATCGTTATATAAATTTATATATGTGTGTGTGTGTGTGTGAGTGTGTGTATGTGGGTGAGTGTTTGTGTGTGTGTTTGTATGTGTGTGTGTTTGTGTGTGTGAGTGTATGTTTGTGTGTCTGTGTCTTTGTGTGTGTGTGTGAGTTTGTGTGTGAGTGTGTGTTTGTGAGTGTGTATTTGTGTTTGTGAGTGTGTGTGTGTGTGTGTGTGTGTGTGTGTGTGTGTGTGCAAACTCACAATCCATCATCCACTGGCAAAATAATTGCAAAAATATCATTCCCCATCATCAAGTGACTTGCCGACTGCCATAGGCGATCATACCTCTCCCCAACCTGCGATCTGCAGCTGCGTGTACCAGTTCGTATGCTGACACCCCTCCATGCCATCACAAAAGGCTGTCAAAAACCTTCTCGCGCTGTCTTCCTCTGTCTCTCTTTCCACAAATCTTTCCAGTGGTCACAACATGTTCCATTTACCCTTCTCTCATAACGTGACCAAAAAGTGATGACGACCTCTTTTCTGATATTTGTGATAAGTTCTCGCCCCTTTCAAAATATCTGGGTTGCTCTTCTTAGCTGTCCCTGGAATTCGTATGATTGTCCGGGACTTCAAGATATTGTTCACCGTGTTTGTTAATTGTCCATGCTTCCTAACCGTATGCTAAAATTGATTTATATATCATCATCATGTAGCAGGTCCTGTGCAGAACGTCGCTCTCATTACGGTATACCTGAATGAAACTTGGTCTCTCGCCAGCTCTCCCGCCTCATGTACTTTCATACTCAAGGCTCTTTGTAGCATGCGAGAATTACTGTCATAGAGTCCGATGGCGTGGATTTAGTGCACAAAATGTTCTTCATTTTGTAAAAGGCACTTTTGGCCTGTCCTATTCTGTTCTTTCTGATACATCTTCCGTCGTATGTTATCCATGCGCCTAGATACTTACATGTCTGTACTTGTCTTTAAAAAAAAAAACGTCTTTAACTGTTATGATACATTTCAATATTATTTATATTCAAAACATTGCGTTGTGTACTTATAGACTGACAAATATGGAAGTTTTTCAAGACTAGAAAGACTTGTTTGGGTCAGACTCACCTGGTCTAGAGAGACTCACCTGGTCTAGAGAGACTCACCTGGTCTAGAGAGACTCACCTGGTCTAGAGAGACTCACCTGGTCTAGGGAGACTCACTTGGTCTAGAGAGACTCACCTGGACTAGAAAAACTCGCATGGACTAGAAAAACTCACCTGGACTAGAAAAACTAACCTGGGCTAGAAAGACTCGCCTGGACTAGAAAGACTCACCTGGACAAGAAAGACTCACTTGGACTAGAAAAACTCACCTTGACTAGAAAGACTCACCTTGACTAGAAAGACACACCTGGACTAGAAAAATTCTCCTGGGCTGGAAATATTCACCTGGACTAGAAAGACTCACCTAGACTAAAAAGACTCACCTGGACCGGAAAGACTCACCTGGACTAGAAAGACTCACCTGGACTAGAAAGATTCACCTGGACTAGAAAGACTCACCTGGACTAGAAAGACTTACCTGGACTAGAAAGACTCACATGAACTAAAGAGACTCACCTGGACGAGAAAGACTCACCTGGCCTAGAAAGACTCACCTAGACTAGAAAGACTCACCTGGACTAGAAAGACTCACCTGGACTAGAAAGACTTACCTGAGCTAATGATGCTCACCTTGACTGGAGAGACTCACCTGGTCTAGAGTTGCTCGCCTCGAAGAAAGAGACTCACCTGGTCTAGAGATACTTACCTCGAAGAAAGAGACTCACCTGGTCTAGAGAGACTCACCTCGAAGAAAGAGACTCACCTGGTCTAGAGAGACTCACCTCGAAGAAAGAGACTCACCTGGTCTAGAGAGACTCACCTCGAAGAAAGAGACTCACCTGGTCTAGAGAGACTCACCTCGAAGAAAGAGACTCACCTGGTCTAGAGAGACTCACCTCGAAGAAAGAGACTCACCTGGTCTAGAGAGACTCACCTCGAAGAAAGAGACTCACCTGGTCTAGAGATGCTCGCCTCGAAGAAATAGACTCGCCTGGTCTAGAGAGACTCCCCTCGAAGAAAGAGACACACCTGGATGAGGAAGAGTCACCCGGTCTAGAGAGACTCGCCTCGAAGAAAGAGACTCACCTGGTCTAGAGAGACTCACCTGGTCTAGAGAGACTCACCAGGTCTAGAGAGACTCACCTGGTCTAGAGAGACTCACCTGGTCTAGAGAGACTCACCTGGGCTAGAGAGACTCACCTTGGTTAAAGTAGCGACGTCTACCTTGCTGACTGATGCTGGAAGCTGAAGTTGAGGGAAAACCTCATACTCGAACTGCAAGATTCCACAAATGTCAAAACAAAGAAGGATAATTAGTGAGTTCGTTTAGTTTAGTTTAGTTCTGTGCATTCATTAAACAAATTACTGTAGTAATTTAATCACATCTTTGAGTTATAATATGGCGATAACTGAGTTTTTTAACTGTGTATTTGTGTTAACTTGAGTTGTAATATTTACATACTACTACTACCACTACTACTACTACAACTACTACTACCACCACTACTACTACTACTACTACTACTACTACTACTACTACTACTACTACTACTACTACTACTACTACTACTACTACTACTACTACTACTACTACTACTACTACTACTACTACTACTTTTACTACAGACGTTACCACTGTCTTCTGGTACAACGATTACTCCTATTACTGTTGCGCTAATTTTACTACTAAAATTGCTACTTTTATTATAGTTATTCATTTTAATACCACCACCACAACTACCGGCACCATCATGACTACTTCTACTACCACCACCTCCATCACTACAATAACTCACGCTTGTGTTGTAAGGACAAATCTGAGTCGCCATGGACATTGCGCAAACAACTTGAATGAACACAATTTGCAGGATTCTGGTACGTTCCGTACACTGTAGACTCTCCATGATGGAACGTGTAGCGATATGCTGCCTGTAGAAAACACATTTGTTATACATATTAAATAAATTTATGATAGACCAATCATTCATCAGTCTTCTTCGCGTTCACTGACTATAAAATTGGCCGACAGTTCTGGCTGTTCGTCCACTTCCGGACATTGATCTTCCGCCAGGACTAAGTGTTGCATGCACATCAGTTTTACTGATCAGGCTTTTCTGTGTGTACACTGTTGGTTCATTGTCTCTCAGGCAGATGCACGGCGCCCTCGAGAGAATAGGCTTATCAAACCGTTACTGTAACACTCAAAGGAAGCTAACAATTGTAACGCTATAACCTGTTATGCATATCGTAAGAGGCGACTAAGGAAGTTTGTCTTGGCATTGGCTTCCCACTCCTATAGAAAACTGTAGCTGCAGAAGTCAATCAGTCATGAGCACCTCTGATGGACAATGTTGATAAATAGCTCAGGAAACCAAGGCGACCGGAAACTGAAAGGTTGAGTGTGATGTGTCACGAGACAGAAATTGGGATCGTTGGCTCCATTTTTAACTCGAAACCCTCGTAAGTGACGTCTTGAATATGAGAAACAAGTATAAACATAGACGCTGGAATCTGGCGCCAATTTGTTAAGGGTCTGATTCATCAACAACCCCCCCCCCCCCTCCCCGGATTTGATAAGGAGACTAAGTAAATGACCCCTTTCCACGCCTGCAAGCATACTGGGCATATAGGGCTAGACGTATATTTTATACACCAGTCTGCACTCGGTGTGTGGTGTGGTCAACGTCAACTTTACTCACAGGACTTTATCTGGTAATCATTTACGGCTGGGTCGACCGGGAGCCAAGGTCATTTATGAAAGACAAAATTGTCCGGCTCCATCAGGTTGTTCGTTGCTTTGCACACAAAAAAATCGTCACCTTCAGTCAGCATCCCCAAAGGGGGAGCTTTTCGTTATAATTGTGACAAGGTTATGTGCGCCATGTATAATGGTTTAGCATAGCACCCTACAATGAGCCATGAAAAGGTTTATTGCATTGTTGATGCAATCAAAGGAGATAGACACGAATGCTGTCCCGACCTGTGACAAATCGTCTGCTGGCCAGCCAATGGGCGTCCCTGCCGCCGATGTCCATCGTGACCTGAAGCCACATTTGAACCGCAGACGAGCTTTTACGGGGTAAACGGTTTGCTTTAGTCGTGTATCTAAATTCTCTTTACAATTATCTGTAATAATGTCATAGTATATCAAGTATATTAGTCTTTGACTTCCGGGTCGACCCAGCCTTGAGTGGGTATCGGGGACAGTCCTGGGAAGTAAAGGCGGCCGGCGTGATGCTGACCACACCACCAATCTAGTGCCAATTGGTCTATCAAAAATATAGGTCTAGCCCTATTTGCCTAAAGGCGTGGAAAGGGGGTCTTTTATATTGTTATATTTATGTACCACTGAGTACAGTATTATTCAACCTTTTTAATCATTATGCTCTTAAACTAAAATTAAACCCGGGACCCTATTGTGGGGGGAAAACAATAGACCCTCTGCTTCTAAAACAAGCATGTCGTAGAGTCGACTAATTTGGAGCTTTCTTTGAAGTCGGAGTTCATCTGCCCGAGCGACAAGAAACAATCAACAGTACACAAATAATCCAGTAATCCTGATGTACACGCAAAACTCAGGCCCTGCCACAAAGCCACAGTCCAAATGGACGAACAGTCAGGACTTTCCGTTGGAGCTTTCAGTCTGTGAACAAAGAAGAAGAAGAAACTAAAAACTGGACTTTTTGAACGCCCCCCGCCTGTCATCCTTTGCCTAGCACATTTGTGTACGCGCCTCTCTGTGTGAATTTGGAACAATAAGCACAGGTGTGGTAAATCTTCTTCTTCGCGTTCACCAGCTTTAAATCTCGGCGGAAAGTTCTGGGTATTCGTCCACTTCTAGACTCCAGTCTTGTCCTAGAATTTGAGTTTGGCGTGCTTTCCTTATTTCTCGGGCCGATGCAGTCCGACTTCGATAAAAACACCCTAATTAGTCTACTATTACGACGTGCTTGTTAGAGCGAGGCTTCGTTTAGATTATTGTCTCTTGTCTTTCGTTGGACATTCGTTATCAAGTTTACTCTTTAAAAAGTTGAAAATCACTTACCTTAACACACAACAGAACAACACGTATGTCCAAAGTTCAACTCGCTTACAGTACAATGGCTGTGTACTGCAATATCTATAGAAGCTTACGGCAAACAAATGGAATTAGTATAGTATCTGTGCATACAACAGCCATATCTCTATGCCGAATGGAGGCCTTGTCCGATCCTAAAGCCTGGTTGTGAAGTTGTTATCAGGGTTTGGTGTTTGTATAGATAAGAATTGTCAGAAACGGCTCAATCGATGTGACCCAGACAAACAGACAGTACAACGCTGGAAGTAATGGGACACTAAGTGTAAAGATACAGCTCGCGCTCAGATACTATCACCGTCCCAAAGAGGGACGCACATTTTCTTTCATTTAAAGCCCCACCCCGGCTGTAGTCGAGTGCCCTAGTATAACCTTAAAGCTGCACGGGGTGTCTGGGACTTGTGCCCGAATGATCCTCATCCGAATGGTAGCACTTTGTGTCACCGGATGTTGATCGCTCGTTGCACAATCCTGGTGGGGTTAAACAACAACGGTATAAACTGTGTGGTGGCTGGGGGGTACTATCCACTTTATCACGGCGTAGCCGCCGTGATGTAGAGGCTAGGCACTCGACTTGAGATTGAAAGATACTGTGTTCGGGTCCTGAGGGGGCTGGACATTTTTCTAAAATGACCTAGCTTCCATATCGACCTAGCCTTGAGTTAGTAGCAGGGACAAGTCCTGGAAAGTAAAGGCGGCCAGCGTCTATATAATATAGGTCTAGCCCAATACGCCCGAGGCTGTGGGAAAGGGTCCTTTACTGTTTTTTTTTTTTTTTATAAACAAGCCTTTTGAGCCTCAAAACCCTTAGATATCTATAAAGGACAATGTCAGTTTTTTTATTTGTTTGTTGATGAGAGAGATAATAAAGATTACAATTAAAATTTAAGTTGGACCACTTTCAGACTGCTGCTAGCTAGCCGAGGCTGCTAACCTTCTCCGCCTATATTTGTGGTCTGGTTTATTTGCGTTTTTTTCGTGACTAAAGTTTTAGTAATTGCGCTGTCTCTGGTCTTGATGTTTCCTTCCTCCGAGTCAGATCGCTCGTTCTCTACCCTGTTGTTAGCTGTGTGCTTCTTGCCTTTACCTTCCAGGTGTTTCCTCCTTGGTTTAAGCTGTCTCTGATTTGACCAGGCGTATTTCGTAGGAGAGCGAGCTTCTATACATAACGTCCTTTGGACCACCATTTATAGTTTTAAAATGTAGAGTATTTTACTTTGCAAAAAAAGTACTGAAAACAGTTTTTCGTTTTGGATAGATCTAAAATGTGAAAGTAAAAATCGCGTGTGACCATAGTGGTCTTATAGTCGTCTTCCTGCAATAAGAACGTGTTAGTCATACAGTCAATATGTGTGTGTGAAATGTTAGGTGGATCCTCACAGTTATTCTAATCGTTCTTTGTTATAGTGTAATCCGGTTGTGTCGGTTTGGGTTGGTAGCTAGGCTCCGGTGTACGTAAATACCCTATACCCGCAACACCCAGCTCGCGCTTAGAGATCCAAATGTTCGGCAATGAGGGTTGTTGTGGCATGTTGGTTACCAAACTCAAGTGATCTCTGGGGGGTTGGGGATCGTACTCAAAGTGCATCCGGAAGGAGTCAGGAAGGGTGAGGGAAAAGAGGACGGGAAGGCATTCAGTCAGTCCTCGTCTTTGCCGTCTTGCTGGACTCAAGCGTGGCCCTGTAGCCGGAATTATACTTATTACGTCACCAACTTTTGATATCAGCCCACTGATGGAAAGGGGTGGGGTGAAATTGGTGGTTAAGAGTTCTAGTCCTGTCAGTATCGACCCACATGTCTTCCCTATTTGCTGTCAGTCATATCCTGCTGTGAGCCCCACCATTCATGTTTATGTTGTATGCATGATGTGAGTGAGATGAAATGGATTTGAGTATGAATCCCCGGAATATATGGACGCACACAACTAAGTGTATGCGTACATAACTCGAGCATTCATACACGCAGACAACACTACATATTTGCACTTCCTTTCATACTTATTTGTGTGTGCATACCTATTTGTCATTGCTAACCCCTAGGTGGTGGCTCGAATTCATACATGATTAGTGGGTTAGACTGAAAAAAGGTGATTCGTTGATCAAATATAGAGATTGATGACAGATAGATCCAACAGGAAAATGGTAGCTGATTGGTTGGTCAAATTGTTGAAAGCCAGTTAAATGATTGGCTGGCAGTGAAAAGTTAGTTGATTGGTTGATGGGACAATAAAGAGTTAGACAGCTATGGAACAGCTCATTCGAGCTCAGACAGCCCAGTCGAACGCACCTCTCGCTCGCTCAACCGCCCGATCAGCCACGTGTGTCTCTCGTTCGCTCGCTAACTACCCATTCGTAGCCTGATTATCGATAGCTAGATACTGGTCAATACTCGCTTGATTTTCGGCTGAGTTTATCTCGACTACGCTATCGGTGTCGTCTGCGTTTGGGTTATTAGCAGCCCGGGAGCACATCATTGTTGAAGAGCCAGTCGCACCAGCCACTTGTGAAACGATTGTCTCGTGAACTGCAGAAAAGCACGCTCGGTGTACTTTTCAGTTCACTTAACGAGCCTTGCCAGACTGCAGGAATCGAGCTTTCAGTATAGACCGCAATTGCCTATCATTGATTTTTCCATCATGGGAAAACAACAGCAAGCAGCCGCACCTACACCAAGGAAGAGGATGGCCATACCATCAGCATCACCGGCAGGCGCCCCTATCGCGGCGCCTCGCACACCTATGCCAGCAACTGAAGCCGCACCCATCGTGGCGCCAGCACCAGAAGCCTCCCCTATCGAGGAGCAAACACCCGAAGCCTCCCCTATCGTGGA